TTATTATGCGTTTTACGATTCCCGTTCCGCGGTGTAAATTTAATAAGCGTAAAATTAATAGTAGGTAGGTCCTCACCTATTGCCCGTATAAGACCTACTAAAGTATAATAATATGATAATAATATTATGCTATTGCCGCTTCAACGCCACATCATTGTGATGATAATAATAATAATAATTATTTACAATAATAATGATTTTATTCACGTCAAATCGGCCGTGATCGGCGCGGTGTCGTATATTATTCTCTCTATCTCAGAGACGTTATTAAAAATATGACATGATTTATTAAAATATATTATCAAATTATATTATGTATAAAGGACTGCCAGCTATAGTATAATATCGAATTATTGTGCACTGTTCGCCCGAAGTTTTCGCCATCTACCGGCTACCCGTCGACGACGACGACGACGACGTGGGTCTTGCAATATAATATGGGTATTATTATTGCGGTCCGACCAATCTACGACGAAGACGACGACTAACCACAGGATAACAATAATAATAATAACAAAAATAGTATTGTAATAAAGAATATTAAATCGTGTGCGAGCGGGGAGACGATCGAGGTGGCGACCGCGAGAAGAACGGCGATCGTCGTCATTGTCGGTGCACATCAGCTGCTGCCGGGTGGGCCGTCGTCTTGTAATAATAATAAATAATAATAACAATAATAATAATATAATATAATATACGAGTTTTTATCATCATTACACACTGCTGTTGTAGTCGCACAACAATATACTGTACGGGACCTCTACAACACATTATATAATACGATATTATATTATATGGGGATGTATGATGGGTACACGCCGCCGTCGCGATGGCGATATTGGGTTATTATAATATTATGTTCGAGGAGGAGAAAATTCCACGGTCGGGTGTCGTCTCCTCACACGTCGCTGGACTCACCAAGTCGCACGAGGGGGTTTCGACGATATTATGTCAAAAAAAAATTTTGACAGCCCTTCTCCGACGACGACGTCGAGCCGACTGTCGAGGGGTTCCCGCGGCGAGGCTCGTCAGAGTCGCGACTGACAAGAGTCGTATCCGATGCGGTGCATCCCTTTTGTGTTTACCCGCCGAGACTTGACCTCACACACACACACACACACATAGGAAAGCATTGATGGATGTTTTTTAATTGCACGTCAAACACGACTTGTATAACAATAATAATAATATCCATTTCCATGTATAACACCGGCGTGTTACGATAATATTATTACTTTTGTTATTATTACTATTATTACTAAATCGTTATAATCGTTGTATAGGTGCATTGTGGGTTATATAAAACGAACGTCACGGTTGTCGTGTCGGATGGCTGACGGGAGACGTATATTAATATAATTTATAAGATGGGTATATGTTATCACGCGTGGTATATATTATAAAACTATAATACCTTTTTTTTTTATCGATCTTAAGCCCGGCAACTATGGCCATTAGCTGTTTGTAGGCGAGGGGGCTACGGTTGGATTGGAACAAGTGTGTATGTTTGTTGACAAAAATCTCGCGGGGTGGTCACCCATCCGGGAACTATAGTGACGCCGGCTGATGATTGAACACGTTTAGTGACTGAATGCATCCACCTCGCATCACCAGGCCACTACTATAATTTATACTTGTAAGTAGAACATATTCCTAAATGTTGTTAATAATATTATACTGATTACCTGCATTGTTTACTGTCATAATATATTTAGCCACGTCGAGATTTACACTAATTCCAAAAATGTATTTCTGGATTTCTATGCAGTATTATTTTATCTAGCATTATTATTTATACGCCCACTCACTAAGTTACCAATATAATGTGTAACAGGAAGACCTGACAAAATAATGATGCTACTTAAACGAATGAAAAAAAGGTTGAAAATTATATAGTTCATACATCATTTAAGAAATATACTCAAGTCAGCAAATTTCCAAAAATAATGTTTTGAAAAAAAGTTATTACGTTCTCGATAAATTTACTCACAAAAATTGTGATTGATTAAATAATTATTAAAAAATTCTAAAAAACAAATCACCTGACTTAGGTAAACACTTTTACAATCAAAATTGTTCTTATAATCGGATTTAAAAAATTGGAAATTTTGAATTTTTCCAAAAACTTTTAAATCAAATTTTAAATGTTTTATTTTCAGTAAAAAACAATCAAAATATTTTTTTTATACTATACTTGTAATGCAAGTGACTATAAATTATTACATTTATATATATAAAAAAAAAAAATAAAATATTGATAAGAACAAAAGTCATTTTACACCCTGCAGTATTGTCGCAATAATTGACCGCGTACAGTTAAACATCAAAAATACGAATAATATTTTATAAATTATAGTTATAATATTTTGTATAACTATACGTACAGTATAATATACCTATCAAATTTTAAAAATAAATTGCTTTTGTATAATGTATCAGGCGCCTATACCTATATTGCGTAATGGAGGAAAATTAAATTGTCCATCGGCGGAATAGAGACACAGTTCGGTTTGGCGGTCAAGGGAAAAGGGTCATTTCGGCAGAAAAGGGTTAGTCCGTACACCATCAAAATAATATATTATAACATATATGCTGTGTAGGTATCAGCTGCGATCGATTCCGTCCGTTAAGTGTACGTCGAATTCGATCCCGACTCTAATTTGCACATTTAATGACAACTCATTTGTGTGCCCGTTTATATTATTATAACATGTACGTACCTATACCATGTAGTAAGCCCGAAACAATAGTTTAAAAAAAAAAAACATGTCGAATCGTACCGAATTTAAATTAAAATCGTTCGCGGAACGAAATTAAGATCGAAATTAGATTCGTTTTTATCGCCGCGGTATAGCCGGTATATTGTGTTTGAAACCGTTATCGTGCGTACACACGAGTTAATGGGATTTTATTTCAAAACGAAATTACCGTTCGGGTTGATATTGTTATTATTTAGTTTTCGGCAACTCACACGTCCGCGGCAATAAAAAAAATGTTCGGATTTTTTAAACGGTTTGCGAGAGAAGAGAAATAATATTAATAAATCACACGCGCGCGCTTAACCGCCGAAAACGAAAAATATTATTCCGACAGCATAATAATTTACTCTCCTCGTCTATAACGTTATTATCGTATTGGTAACATACCAAAGCGGTATAAAAGGGTGAAGAATTTAATTTTTTCTACTAAATATAGGAAAACAATAGTCTGGAGAGGGTTCGCCGCCCCGCAAACGAATCATATTATTTATATTTATATTGTCGGGACATATTATATATTGTGCCCCCCGGGTAAAACCGCGTAAACCAATAAACATATACCTAACTGAAACACACACACACATATATATATATATATATATATATATATATATATAGGTACCGACCCGAACGTCTTGAAAAATATATTAATAATTCCAATCGCTATTCTTTTTCGAAAACGTACCCTTACACAGCGGGGTCGCGCATATATATTATAATATTATTGTACGGTGATGATAATAATAATGTATGTAGGTACCTATATGGGTACCAGACTTTCGGTCTGACGGTTGAAAACACAATTATTATATTGCCGGTGGTGGACGAGAGGGAGAAGAGTTGGAGAACTCACGTCGGGGCGAACCTCATTTACCTATATACATATTATACATACTGTATAATATATATTATTTATGTATTTACCTATATGTATGTATATACATAATCGCAGTGAGCGTGGACTCTTTAAATCCGACAATAATAATAATTCACGCCAAGCTTATATACATACAGCCGGCGCACCCTAAGGTATAATAATATATACGCACCACGTGACAGACTTTGCGTGCGCTAATGAGATATACTCGCGAGTGTACAAAAAAATAAAAAGACCTAATAATAATAACAATAATAATAAATTATTTTATTACTTATCAGTGTGTTTGTGCTTCGCGGCTCACGCGATTCCCAACCAATTATATACGACGTGCGTACATTATAATGTGACCGTTGACCACTATTGTATAGTATTATATTATATGAAATGTACTTATGTACCTGGCCATATATAGATGTAGTGATGGTGTTGAGATGGCCGATCCGGAACAACATATTTACCTATGCACTATACATGTACGGAGCATGATGGGCAACCTTGCAAAAATGTATCCACCTCGTGGTAAAGGATTAATAACTGAATTTGTTTTCTCCAATTGCGGTTATGTAATTGTGTGTAAACAATGTATGAGTGTATGACGTAGGCGCCTACTCGAAGTGCACTTGAGCTTTAGGCCCCGGAAAGCAACGGATGCTGACTTGGTTAGGTACCATGCGATATGTCGATTTGATAAATCGTGTTAAGGGGATTCGATACCGATCGTTTTTAAGGAGCTGAGTATAGGCAATTTTAAGGCTATTTCCATAGTGCGTGCGTGCGTGGCGTGTATTTGTGTTTGTAGTAAACGATCATTAGTGTTAGTGCCCCCCGCCCGCCAAAAGACAACTTCAGCCCGCAACATTATGATATTTCTTATCTTCGATTATGACTGCGCGGCGTCCCGTAATTCCACTACCTGTATAAAAATATAATAAATATACATAGTACATGTACATAAATTATTATAGATACTAGATAGTAAATCATTCGCTGCCTGACGTAATTTTACATTTTTATTTTTTACCCAACGAATATTGATCTCGGGCATTTTTGTAATTGAATATAAAGATAGGTAAAATAAGTATATAACTATTGTAACTTGTAAGTTATTAATAATACAATAATAACAAGCGTTTATTTCAAATAATAAAGTAGTTTTTATGATTATTTTATTCGCTTTTTAGACTTAATTTTTTTCGTTTATATTTTTATGTAATTACCTATTACCTACCTGTAATCTGTATACTACCTAAATTGTATTTGTTTGAGAGTCAAAAAAACACTCATCACTGCAAAAACTTTTTTATTTTACTTAATTTATTGTACGTATTATCCATTATTATAATAGGTATCTAATTATAATATTATAAGCCTGTTCTAAGTGGAAGTCCTCGGTCAAGTCGAGAATCAATTATCTCCGGAAGTAAGCATTCCATGTAAAACTTCTTCAACTTTGGTTCTATATCCATCCAGAACTTGTCATCCCTTTCAATTTTCTCTACTATAAGTCCTATTAATTGGTATAGGTGTTATTATTATAATTTTATATAACAAATGGCTAATTGTATACATTATCTTGTAGGTAACTTATACATTTAAGCTTCATTTATAATAATTTTTACCTTTAGGTGTCCATATACAAAAATAACAAAACTTACTATTAGTTATATGTAGTTGTCCCTGAATTTGATAGAAGTATGCATGTGATGTTTTCAGCTGTAAATTTCCATCATTGTACGTCATACATTTTAATTTTTTTTCATGAAAGGCCTCTTCCGGCGTATAATCTTTTATGGATGATGGACATTTAATTTCAACAATAGAATCATAACTTATCAAACCATCTGGACTAGCAGCCAAAAAAGGCAAATCATTATCAACAAAAAGCCCACAGGGTAATATTGCTGTCCCAAGCTTTGACTCCAAATTATTTTTTGCCAAAGGTTCATTCTGAATTCCATATCTAAAAACATTATTATTATGACTGAGAAAGTGATATAAGTAACCCTTATAATAAATATTTTATACATAATATAAAGAATAAAGAAAAAATGGGTGAGATAGTATATAATGCATAATTGACCTACTTTGTTGCAGCATTACCACGAAATAAGTCGTATAAAATAAATTTGACTGTATTTTCGCGAGAAGTGGTTGATCTCAATTTGGCAACTTTTCCAAAGTTTGAAGCTGTGAGTCTCATTTTTCTTTGCCTTCGCCATTCATCGCTTTGGGATTGATTAATAGTACTTCTTTCCAATAATTTTATTTCTTCATGTGTGAGTTTTAGTTTTTTTAGAAACTCGGTTTTTTTAATTCCATACTTTTCAATTGGCATATCAACTATTTCAGAAGGCTGTTCTACTGCTCCATAGTCTTCGTCAGGTCCGTGTGGAAATATATTCTTTTTAATTTTATATCTTGAAAAAAATATTAAACAAATATAAACATTTATAAAAATTACAATAGACAATATTAATTATAGTTATAGTTTTATAAACACAAAATGTAATAGATATGCACCCAGGTTGATTTAATTTTCTTCGTTTAATATCATTTTTCTTTTTTTGTATCCTCTTAATATATTTTTTCGTGAACAATCCTGGACTATGAAAAGTAGCTTTCTTATGGAAATGGCTAATATACGAAGGGCCGAGGTTGAACGCATTGACAGCCGTATCGCAACGGGCTTGGTAAGAGCCTATATTTAATATATAGTAATAACTAATAATATTAAGTATACATTTACGTTTATATTTTTTTAAACCTATTATTATTTTTAACACTTGCCTCTAAAAGAATAATTAACACGTTTACCACCGATGAATTTAGCAACAACGCTATTATAACTTTCCACGCAGTTGTTGTTTACAAAATGAATAAGACTATCAGAATGATGTGCAACTAAATTTCTTGCTCCCAAAATATCTTGCCAAAGTCCACAATTTTCCATTTCGGAAATTATATTTCTTTCCCCGGGTTTAGGTCCATCACAAAAATAACTAAAAAAAATCATTAATTATCATAATAAAGTTTGTCTATAACCTTTTTTTATGTTTAAATAAGCACATTACGAAAAACCCACTTAGCACACTTGTCATGAGAACCAAAAACATGATAAGGCCCATTTTCTATATCCTCCCTTAATAAAGTGATCTTGTAATTTAAAGGGACGTCTAATTTCGATCTATATTTAATTGCGTATGTAATTCCGGACCTGTAATATAATTTGTATTGTGAATACAAAATAAAGACAAGACTAGTAAATAAATACAAGACTGGGAAAAGCAGAATATTATTCTATTTTTTTTTCAATGATTAAAAAAAATTACCTCAGTTTTAAACGTCGTTCCTTTAACATTTTTCGTAGCTCACCAGGGACGACAACGCCGCTTGAACTTTTTCTCTTTGATGCTATATCCACTATGCGATTTAAATAGTTTCTCAAAATATGGTTAGTACACTCAATTTTTTGTACTTCCGTATCAAATCCATACGGTTTTGACAACATAATTTTTTTTAGTACACTAGAGTCTCCATCTCCTATGAGTTTATGATAAATAATATTATGTGTAGGAATGCTTTGTCGAAAACCTTCTACAATTATATCTGACTCCATAGAAGTGCTAGTGTTGTTCCAGTTTTTATAGCAAATATGATTTGGAGGATCTTTGTTTATTGCCTTAGCTTTCATACATACCGAACAGTATTTGTTCCGTACTCCAATAAATAATACTTTTTTTGTTCTATAACCGACAATGCAAGCCTGAAAATTAGTAAATATTAAAATATTAAAATTGTAGTCTTGCCCGCCTTTTTAAATATTTTATAAAATGATAAAAATAAAATCTTACAACTCCAGATAATGCATTGTAGTTATGTTTATAGGATCTTTTTGACCAAGCGCCATCAGCGACGACAGTTATCAAGGGTATACCATTACTATTTACTTCACCATTTTCAATAGCTAATCGCGCTTCTTCTTTGCCAGCCTCTTCAATCGATTCCCATGTAGTTAATTGTGTTTTATTTGCCACGAATTCATGTTCTTTCTGATATGTGTTATTAGACATACAAGGCATATCTAAAATGGCTGAAAATTGATCCAATTGGGAATACCCTTGCCCTGTATTTAACATGGCAGTGACAGCTGCAGCATTTACCGTTAATTTGTCATTTAAAATTGGAGGTTCAGAATAAATAATTTCTTTTTTACGACACATAGAACAATCAAAATGAAATTCAGAAAAAAATCCTTTACGAATTTCATGAGAAAAAATTAAATTTTTAAATGAACAATCAAATGGTGTATGACATACTGATGAAATTGATTTAAAAATATAACTAATGTCAACTATTCTTCGGCCATTTAATACATCATTTTCAACTCTAAAAACAATTTTAAATTCAAAATACTTATTTAATAATACAAATACAGGCTAACGTTTTTATATGTATAGGTATACTAAATAATGTTAAGCTATTCAAGACAATGTCATTGCACTATTTATTTTTTCTCTATGACCCAAGCGCAACATATCAAAATTTTACGTTCACAATAATGATTATAAATTATAATTTAAATAATCATAATAACTTCCAAAGTTAGAGTGAAATTACCTCTTAAAAAATTTGAAGATAAAATTATTATTATAGCTAGGGCATAGCATAGCTTTTTATTATATTTTGATTTTATAAAATACCTACTCATAACTCACTTTAAAATTAAAATATAATAAAAATCCTATGAAATGCCCTAGATAATAATATCTTATATTCTTATCTTTAAATTGTATAAGAGGACATTTCACTCTTATTTAAAAAATTCTTACGATTTTATTCATTCCCTATTGTGAACGTAAACTTTGCTATGTTGCGCGTGGGTCAGACAGAGATAAAACAAAAATATTGTGCATTGCATTAATTGCATAGTATAATAAATTTCTTACCTTGAGGTCGAATCGTTTTCTTTCACGGTACTTAGGGTAAATGTTGGTTCGAATATATTTGTTGAAGTTTCTGGTGACAATGGATAAAAGTCTTGTATCATACTATCATCATTAACCCTTAAATAACCATAACGGCGCTATTAGGGATCAAAATTACTAATAAAATAAGTTAAAAAAAAAAAAATTTTTTCTAAATTATACCATGTACAATACCATATGAACCGCAATAATGCTTTTAAAACAAAAAAAAAACGTTTCTATGTGTCTGATATTTTATATTCCTAATAATATAATTTCTTACCTTGAGGTCGAATCGTTTTCTTTCACGGTACTTAGGCTAAATGTTGGTTCGAATATATTTGTTGAAGTTTCTGGCGATAATGGATAAAAGTCTTGTACCATACTATCATCATTAACCCTTAAATAACCATAACGGCGTTATTAGGGATCAAAATTACTAATAAAATAAATATAAGGAAAATACAGAAAAAAATCTGTTTTTTCTAAATTATACAATATTCAATACAATATGAACTGCAATAATGCTTTTGAAACAAAAAAAAAATGTGTCTATGTGTCTTTGATATTTTTTTATTGGCATAGGACAACGATGGTTTGGTTAGGTTCGCAATCCGTTGCAGGCAAACAATTTAAATACTTATCAGTTATTATATTTTGAATCATAAATAAGTAATAAAACCAATTTTAAATTCTGAGCGGAGCGAAATCTAAAAAATATACAAACATAATATAAAATGTCTTATACTGACTTATCCCCGCTCAGAATATACACATTTGAGTTATAAAAAAAACCTAGAAAGTCTTTATGCTGTATAGTAGGTGTCGAGTGGACCTCGATCATACTATATATAAGCAGTATATTAGCAATATCGTAGTTTTTTACAGATTACTAAATGTTGTATAGATGATTTTTTTTATTATTATTCAGTAGGTACCTATTAATTTATTATATTTATTCTATTTGAGCCCCCTCAATATTGTACAGGAGGTCTGCCTATACAGGTGATATATTTTAAATACTATAAATCATATAATGTCTAGAAAACAATAATTATAATGTATTAGAGACTGACGTACATTTGTGCATTATCCGGTTCTGTTATAATAGTATCTTCGATAGTATTAGGATGGTTCTCCGATGCCGACAGATTATTTATTTCTCCCTATATTATAATAATACGTACAAAATTAAAATCACATGCACATAATAAAATTGTATACCTATATATGGTGTAAATTATTTTGACTTACCGTGTCACTGTCAGTTTTAAGATTTTCTCTCCATTTTTTTAGTTTATCTACATTTCCCTTGTGTTTTTTGGATAAATATTTCCTTCGTCGTTTTTTAATTTGTAAAACATTTTCCATCATAAGAAGAATAACGTAAAACGTTTACGAATTACAATTTATTATAATTTAGAAGCCAATAGAGTATGCAACTATCAATAATTACCGTAGCAGATATTATACGTAGCCGCTAGAGTGCTAGACGCTAATAATTAATAAATAATATTATGTGCAGTGTGCAGGAAATAGGGATACTCCAATAATATCAATTGCATAATATTATAATATGTTATTTATAAGTTTATGGATATTTTCATATTTATCGCAGGCGTGACGTCATCGTGCTGGAACTATTATTATATTTGGTTTACTCGGGCGGGCGGTGGCGACGTGGCGTACAGGTTCATGGAAATGGACACTTTCGCACGCGCAGTCACATGTCAAAAACGCACCGTCGCGTGCTTGACGAACAATATATACTATTTTTTTTTTCTAAAAGTATCAATCTTTTGCCAATTGTACAGATTTTTCTAGTGATCGGAAACAAATTCTGAAAACATATTTGAATTCGTCATGAAGTTTACTTGAAAACGACTTTCTTACATTTTTAAATTGATTTTTTTAGTTTAATATTACTATTATTTTAAAATTCTAAAAATTCAAAATTTTGGATTAAAATTTGATGGGTTTAAGCGATCAATTTCAAAAAAGTTGAAAAGTCGTTTTCAAGTAAACTTCATGACGAATTCAAATACGTTTTCGGAATTTGTTTCCGATAATTAGAACAATCAGTACAGTTGGCAAAATATAGGTATATTTAGGTAGAAATCACAGCCGGGTGGAATCCCCTTAAGATATTATTAGGTACATCGATTTTTTTTATAAGACGAAGATGGACAAAAGTAAATTGCTGTTGCACTGTAGAAAGTCAAAGTATAGGAAATCACAGTGATTTTTGACGCACTTGTAGGCTGTCCCCGGAGTGACATGTTTATCCAATATACGAAAGCCCAAAATATTATTTTACATCCGAAATTCAGAACATTGCAGTTACCACTGATACAAGTCGATACTTTGGAACAATACTGTATACACAATAATATAAGAGTGGCCAGTGCAGCAAAAGGGCTGTCAGGTGAGTGTCGAAAAAAGTCATCTCCGATGAGCTCTAATTTGCTCTAGATCGCCGGTCCGGAAGGTAAACACGAATAGAGTATCACTCAGAATTTCAATTCTTATAAGTGAACGGATTCCGCCAAACAGGTGTCTTGAGAATTTTTTCAGATGATATAGGGTAGTATATACGATATAATGTATACACTTTGGAATCAAGACTGAAAAATAATAATCACAAGTGTAAAACTTTAATTTTCACTTCCTGGCAGATGCTTAAAAATGGTCCGGAAGGTAAACACGAATAGAGTATCACACAGAATTTCAATCCTTATAAGTGAACGGATTCCGCCAAACAGGTATCTTGAGAATTTTTTCAAATGATATAGGGTAGTATATACGATATAATGTATACACTTTGGAATCAAGACTGAAAAATAATAATCACAAGTGTAAAACTTTAATTTTCGCTTCCTGGCAGATGCTTAAAAATCTCATGTTCGTCGTGCAAGGCAGTCATCGGTGCAATGAAGAAACTTTGGTGCAGTGTACACGTTTCTGCTATTGGTAGGGAGTTTTTTCCCACACTCGTCGTCTCGGTGGTAATCGAGGAAAATCGAAAGCGTGCAGGTGTTTTTTTTTAACTAATCAATTTACCTATACTACTCTATAATGTCATAACGACGCATTCGGGTCGTTCGTCGTTCTGCACCGGAGCTACGATAAATTTCGATTTTGTTCATCGCGGCTTGTTATTAGTACCAAACAATTAAAATTCCGGGCATCGATGAGCCGTTATTAATTTCGTTTGGTCCGCACTTTCAAACAGAAAGCAATTATTTGTAAGACGCGTTTCCTTTCTCTGTACCCATACGCCAGTACGCATCACTAGACCCTAGTATAAGGATCAAGCGAAATTAAGAAAACTAGAAACATATAATTCTGCTATTCTTAATAATATGGGCACCTAGTTCGGTACTGCTTAATTTTT